GGGGGGGGGGGGACACCCACAAGGTACAGAGCATCCCTGCAGAGTATGTCCTGCGGAATCTCTTAGTGGGGGGGCAGGTGACTTCTAGCACCGGGACTTACCAGGAATTGGAGTGCTCCAGGAGCCACATGGACCCAGTCAGTGCCTTTGTCCTGGCCGGTGTGGAAGGCAGTGCAGAGAGAGGACCTGGGTTGACTCTCCCTTGGCTAGGTCTGCAGAGGTTTGCGAAAGGTATATAAAATCTCTCCTGTTCATTCGCTGCTTCCTTTGCCAAGGGTGCTTTCCTGATCTTGCATCAGGGCCAATTCTGGAGTCGGTTGGGGCTTGGATCTGACTATTCTCTGGGGCCCCAGGTGTCTGTCGATGAACCTCGGCTTGGGTTTCCAGGCAGAACTCCAAAGAGCCAGGTTCAGTCTCCCTTTCAGACTCTCTCACTGAGAGAGACAGTTGTGAGATGTCTCCAGTCAGCCATCTTAGCCCTCCGCCTCTGAAAAGCATTTCTAATGAGCTGCCAAGTTCAGTGATTACTTCCAAGACCTAATGATTTGATCAGAGAAGAAGCGTGGATTTTAAAATATAGTCTTGAGAGTAGACATTTCAACAGAAGTGCGCTTTGTTTTGTTCCTCACGTTCACATCTTCCAAGATTGCTATGAACAGAGCATTTCACCGGACTCTGTACTTTGAGAACCCAAACACAGAGCCACACACAAAAGGAACTGGGCAGAGGAAGGGCAATGTGTCCCTAAGTTGATACGCCCGTTCCCTGATCTCTCACATGTCCCCCTCTCTGCTCTCCAGAACCACATGCCCTGGGAAGAGCCTGCAGGCCAGAAGCCCAGTTGCTCCCGTGGTCAGAAAGCTTCCCGCACTGGGCCAGCTCGGAGGCCACGCTCCACCAGCGAGATGGTGGCCCGGGCCCTCTCCTGCGTTTCCACGGAGTCGGTCCCCGGAGAGACTCCTTCGCAGCCTCGGAGCCTCCCTTGCCGCTCACGCGTCAGCATGGACGACCTGTGGCTGGAGAAGTCCCAGAGGAAGAAGTTGCAGAGACAGGCCCAGGTTGAAAGGAGGATGCTCGCGGCGATTGTGCCCCAAGCTGGAGTCAAGGTAAGCGGTTCAGTGCCCCTCCTTCTCTGCAGTTGTTTGTCCTTTCCTGAGCTTTCTCCCGACTCTCTCCTGAGCTCCGACTTGTCACCCTGGGCCCCCTGGATTATAGCACGCTGCCTGGCCCCAGCCAGTCCAGTGCTGCAGGAGAGAGACTCCATTGCACGTGCTCCCCAGGGCCACAGGAGAGTTCCCTCCTCTTCTCCATGGTATGTCTCGGCCCGTGGCCATCCCTAGGCAAAGCAGTAGGGCAGAGAGAAAGAAGGCAGACTTCTTGCCCTCAGGGACCTCACCACAGTGACTGCTGCCTAGTGAATGCCTAGTGTGTGCCCAGCACTGTGGTGGACACTAGCACTGGTTCTACAACTCACAGAGCTGCAGGATATTTCAACATGGCAATCTTAACTAAATTAATTAAATGTAATGACATCATCAGTTACATTTTGTCTCTGGGGGCACTCTGATACCATGATTTTTTGGCATGAAAATGACAGCCTATTTTTTAAAATGACCTGCTAATGTAGATATCATACCTTGTACACAATCTTTGAGAAGAGTTTCTTGTTCCTTCCCTTTGTAAATAGCAATAGTTTCGTCGTCAAGTATTTGCGAAGTATGCATCTCTGAGTCTTACCTCAGCCCCGAATACTCACTCTTTTGATTGAGGTGAAATTCATATAACATGAAATTAACCGTGTGAAATCAAGTCATTAAGTGGCATTTGGCACATTCACAATATTTTGCAAGCATTAGCTATCTAGTTCCAAGACAGTTTCTCACCTCAAAAGAAAATCCCGTACCCATTAACTAGTCACGCTCCACCAGCGAGATGGTGGCCTGGGCCCTCTCCTGCGTTTCCTCAGAGTCGGCCCCTGGGGAGACTCCTTCACAGCCTCGGAGCCTCCCTTGCCGCTCACGCGTCAGCATGGACTCCTGTCCCCTTCCCCAGACACTGGCCAAATCTCAGCTGCTTTCTTTCACTACAGGGTTTCCCATTCTGGATTTTTCATATAAATGGAATTATACAATATGTAACCTTTGTGACCGGCTTTTTTCTGTTGGCATATTTTCAAGGTTCATCCATATCATACTACAGATCAGTACTTCATTCCTTTTTATGACTGAATAATATTCCATTATGTGAATATACAGTCTTTGTTTCATTTTGTTTATCCATTAATCCATCAAAGGACATTTATGTTGTTTCCATCCTCTGGCTACTATGAATAGTGCTGCCAGGACTCATGTATTAATTTTTGTTTGAATACATGTTTTTAATTCTTTTCAGTGTAGAATTATCAGACCGTGTGGTAATCTATATTAACTTTTTTAGAGGAACTGCCAAGGTATTTTCCCCAGTGACTGCACCATTTCACATTCCCACCAGCAGTGTATGAGGGTTGCAAGTTCTCCCCATCCTCCTCTGCACTTGTTTTCTGTTCTCTCTCTGGTAATTGTTACTGTTTTAATTATACCATCCTAGTGGGTATAAGTGGTACCTCACTGTGGTTTGATTTGCATTTCCCTAATGACTAATGTTGAACATATTTTCATATGTTTGTTGCCACTGTATGCCTTCCTTGGAGAAATGTCTATTCACATGTTTTGCCCATTTGTTAATTGGTCTGTTTGTCCTTTGGTTGTTAAGCTATAGTTCTTTATATATTCTGGATACTAGGCCCTGATCAGATACGTGATTTGTAAATATTTCCTCCCATCTGTAGACCGACTTTCACTTTCTTGGTAGTATCCATTGATGCACACAAGTGTTTAATTTTGATGAAATCGAGTTTATCTGTTCTTTTTTTCCTCAGGTTGCTTGAGCATCTGACTTATTTCTGTTATTGTCTAAGAGTTTTATGCCATTTACTCTTACATTTAGGTCTTTGATTCATTTTGATTTTGCTTTTCTATGGTGTGAAGTAGAGGTCTAATTTTAGTCTTTTCCATACAGACATCCTACTGTCCAAGCACCGTTTGTCAAAGAGATTATTCTCATTGAATTGTCCTGGCACCCTTGTCAAAAATTGAATGACCTTAGAAGCATGGGTTTATTTCTGGACCCTCAATTCTATCCTATGAGTTTCTATATCTATCTTTATGTCAGTACCATGCCACCTTTATTACCATAGCTTTATAGTACGTTTTTAAAATTGGGATGTGTGGGTCCTTCTTGTTCTTTTTCAGAATTGTTTTTGTTGCATTGGTGGTATAGTGGTTAGCATAGCTGCCTTCCAAAATTGTTTTGGTATTTGCTGTGTTGCAGTTTCTTATGAACCTTAAAATCCATTTCCATTTATGCCAAAAAGTAGGCTGCTGAGGTTTCAATAGGATTGCACTCAATCTGTAGATCATTTTAGAGAATACTGCCATATTAATAATATTAAGTCTTTGAATCCATGAACACTGGGTGCCTTCTCATTTTTTAAGGTATTCTTTAATTGCTTTCAGCAGTTTTGTCATTTTCACTGTACAAATCTAGTACATCCTTGGTTAAAATTTTTCCTAGGTATTTTATTCATGCATGGAAATTTTTAAAAAAAAACTTATTTGGGAGCCGGGCTCAGTGACTCAGCCTGTAATCCCGTGCTTTGGGAGGCTGAGGCGAGTGAATTACCTGAGTCCACAGGTTCAAGACCCACCTGGGCAACTTGGCAAGACCTCATCTCTACAATAAATCAAAAATTAGCTGGACATGATAGCACGCGCCTATAGTTCCAGCTACTTGGAAGGCTGAGGCAGAAGGATCGCCAGAGCGCAGTAGGTCAAGGCTGCAGTGCTGGGAACGTGCCACTGCACTCCAGTCTGGGTGACGGAGTGAGACTTCAACTCAAAAAAAAAAAAAAACGTATTTGGAGATTGTTCATTTCTAGAGTGCAAAAATACGAATGAATTTTGTTTATTGGTCCTGTATCCTGCAACTTTGCTGAATTCATGTATTAGCTCTAAGAGTATTTTTGTGAATTATTTAGAAATGTCTATGTTTGAGATTATGTCATTTGTAAAAATAGTTTTACTTCTCCCTTTCCAGTTTAGATGCCTTTGATTGCTTTGCTTTTCTTACTTGCTCTGGTTAGAAATTATTGTATAACATTGAATAGAAGTAGGGCATCCTGGTCTTCTTGATCTTACGATTAAAGACTTTCAATCTTCCTCCATCAAGTATGAAGATAGTTGTGGATTTTCATAAATTCCCTTCATCATGTTAAGAAAGTTCCTTTCTATTTCTGGTGGGGTTTTTTATTATTATTATAAAAGAGTTTTGGAATCTGTCAAGTGCATGATCAATTTTGATGATGGTTATTCCACGTTAGTTGAGATAAGCATGTGTGTTTTTTTCCTCTGTTCTATTAATGTGGTAAGTCACATTATAGATAGGTAGGTAGGTAGGTAGATTATGATAGAAGATAGATAGATAGATAGATAGATAGATAGATAGATAGTTTTCTTGTAATGCCTTTGCCTGGATTTGGTGTCAGGGTGAATCTGATCTAATCAGATAAGTTAGGAAGTACTTCCTCTTCTATTGTTTGAAAGGGTTTGAGAAATATTGATGTTGATTCTTCTTTAAATATTTGGTAAGAATCACTAGTGAAGCTTTCTGGGCTTTTCTTTGTTGGAAGGTTTCTGATAACTGATTCAAATCTAGATCTATTAGAATTTATATTTTTTCTTTTCTTTTCTTTTTTTGAGTCAGGGTCTCACTCTGTCACTGAGGCTGGAGTGCAATGGCACGACCACAGCACACCGCAGCCTTGACCTCTTGGGCTCAGGTGATTCTTCTACTTCAGCCTCCTGAGTAGCTGGGACTACAGGTGCACACCACTATGCCTGACTAGTTTTGGGGGTTTTTGTAGAGACGAGGTTTCACTATGTTGCCTAAGGCTGGCAGAATTTGTATTCTTTCTTGAGTCAGCTGGGTAGTTTGTGGGGTTTTTTGTCGTTCTTTTTTTCCCAGAATTTGTCCATTTTATCGAGATTATGTGATTTGTTGATATACAGTTGGTTACAGTATTTTCTTATACCCATTTTAATTTCCGTAACATCTGTAGTAATTTTCCCATTCTCACTTCTAATTTTAGTCATTGGTATTTTCCCTTTTCTCAGTCTGTATAGTTAAATGTTTATCAGTTTTAGTGATCGTTCCATAAAATCAATTTTTGGTTGTTTTGACTTTCTCTATTGTTTTTCTACTCTATCTTTGATTTCTCTCTAAGCTTTCATTTCCATGTATCTGTTAGCCTCAGGTTTGGCTTGCTCTTTTTCTTGTTCTTCAAGATGTAAGGGCAGGTTATAGATTCAAGAACTTCTTTGTTAATGAAAGCTTTCACAACTAAAAAAAAAAAAGCCCTTTCCAAGCCCTGCTTTCACTGCATTCATAAGTTTTGATGTGTTGTGTTTTTGTTTTCATTTATTTCAAAGTATTTTCTGATTTCCTTTGTGACTTATCCTTTGATTCATTGGTTGATTAATACTGTGGTATTTAATTTCCACATTTGTGAATTTTCCAACTCTGCTATTGATGTCTAGTTTGATTACATTGTTACGGAAAAGATACTTTGTATGGAGTCTGTCTTTTAAAATGTACTGGAAAATGTTCCATGTATACTTGAGGAAAAAAAACTGTATCTTCTCTTGTTTGGCTGAGTGTTCTGTTTATGTCTGTTCATTTTCATTGGTTCATTCATTCTAATATTGTTCGAGACCTCTATTTTCTTATTGACCTTCGGTTATTTATTATTGGAAGTGGGTACTGAAATCTTCAATAATGATTGCAAAACTGCCTATTTCTCACTTCACGTATGTAAATTTTTGCATTATACATTCTGAGGCTCAGTTGATAGGAACATATGTGTTTATAATTGTTATATCTTCTTGATGAACTGGCACTTTTATCAATTGAAAATGTCTCTGTCTTTGTAACAGTTTTTGATTTAATATCTATTTCAACTGGTACAGTCATCACAGGTCTCTTTGTTATATTTTCCCATTCATTTATGAAA